AGACACATGAATTTATTTGACGTAGCCTGCGATCTTTTTTTAGTTACTATCTGACATCACATACATCGTAGCATAAAAGTTCACAGTGTATTTATAATTAAAAAAATATATATTTTTAATTTTTATAAATAATAAAAATCGTGTTTATTGGGGGAGGGCAGGAATGTCAAATGGGAGGGCCTGGCCCTCCCTGGCCCTCCCACGGCGCCGGGCATGAGGGTCACAGAAAAGAAAACAAAAGAGACTCACCCTGGCCAGCACGGTGAACCCAGCGTCCGTAACGTGTGAGCATCGTGCAGCTTCAAGGATCCTGAGGACACACAGTCGCACACAAAAACATGAAAAGGCTACTTGAAGTTTATGGTTCAGTATGTTGTGGTAATCAAAAATCTTAACCAGCAGAGGGGGATTAGTTTGAACCAGGCCCGAGATCCTTATCAGATTGTAACCTTGTCTGTTCAATAAAATAAATAAAAAAGCTTTTGACAATGTGTGGGACCTTTTTTCCTTGGTTTCCCCAAAGTGGTTGCTCTGATGAATTTGTTTCATTTTAACAAACATATGGAAGTCCTGATGCAAAGGAGGATTCTGTTAATTATGGCATATTCAAAAAGCTAAAATTAGAAATATTTATGTTGATCTTGTCTGTTTTGGAGAATAAAACTGAGAAGGATATTTTGTGGATATTGATATTGAGCTGTTGGTGTCCTTGTGAAGATTGGCGGGACAGCTTTTGTGTGTTTTTCTCACTTGAGTCGGGGACAGTTGAGTCCCATTGCACTGAGGGAGGCGTCAGTGATGTTACTGCAGCCAGACACACAAAGGATCTGTAACTTGTGGCATCCTCGGCACAGACTGACCAGGCCTTCATCCGTTATCTGCTAGAGGCAACAGAAGAAGAAAACAAATTACAAAAACAAGGAGGCATACAAAAACATTCCTCATGCGTTATTATCTCCCTGCCCCCATCCCACGACCAAAGCTTTCTCTGACCGTGCAGGACTGCATGTTGATGGTGGTGAGTTCTGGGCAGTATTTCTGAAGGTGTTTCAATGCTCCGTCTTCCAGCTGGGTTAAAAAAATGAAAGCATATTATTGGTATTCAAACACCTGGATCAATATTTGTTAAATGTTTCTGGGTTTTTGTGTGTTGTTAAGGAAACATTTCCTATATTAGGCCCTTGTTTTAAAATGTGATAAGCCCATTGACATGCCACGCTGTTATTTGTGAGCCCCAAAAGACAATTCAAGGAGGTTTCACAATATATATTTTTCAGGCAAGAACGATTTTATGATGTTATTGCATATATAGTTTGCCCTGTATATTTTGGATTCTCAGATTCAAGGGAAGTGCACAGACATCTCCCCTATTTGAGGAATGTGAATACACCTCTCCAGTGATTTTTACTAGATCTTCACGTAATCTGGTAAATTAAAGTTATTTGTTTTTTGTAGCTTTACAATGTGTTTTACAAATGATCCTATGGAGAAGCATAATGTGAGCTCTCTTCACCATCAGAGGACCCTGTTTACAGTACATTTCGATTAATCACTGTGCTCTGGTAGCAGGTAACACAACAGCATGTCAATACAAGGGATAATGTCTTAATCATCCAAACAAATACTAATAAACATTGGTATTTTATGGTTAACAATTGGTCAATTTTCATTTGATGTGATTGATTTGATAGAGTCGTGTATGGAGAAGACTGAGGAAGAAAGGTAGAACAGTGTTAGATTACATATTAAAAAGAGGTAGGACTTTATAAGTATTCACTTCTTTCTACTCCTTTATGAGCATTACTTACTTATTTTCTTTTTTGAGTTTGCTGTAGATGCTTGTTAAGTATTCTTGTGTTTTTTTTACCGGTACTTACTTTTTTTTCAATGTTGGAAATAAAATTAAAATATAAAATAAATACCCACTGAAAGAATAAATAACCGTACCTGTGTGCAGCCTCTGAGGAACAGTGCTCGTAAACCATTGCAGCCTCTAGCCAGAGCCTCAATGCCGTCACGTGTGATCTGGTCACACCAAGACAGGTTCAACATCTCCAGCATTCTGCAGCCATCGCTGAGCATATGAAGAAAGAGACCAAAGAAACCGGACGTGTGAACCAAAGGAAAATGACCATATTGTTATATTTATTGTGGGAAGGTGTATGCAGAGAACATAGTGGTTTTGAGATATGGGTTTGGTTAACCAGGGTGATACAAAGTGTGCGGGTGCTACCTGAGGGCCTTGAGGGAGTGGTTGCTGATGGAAACACAGGAAGTGAGATCTAGCTGTTTGAGTTTGTAGCAGAACTTGCTCAGGCTGAGACAGGTGCTGTCTGTGATCTTGGTGCAGCCGTTGAGGTTCAACACTTCGATGTTTCTGCAGTTTTGCGCAAATGTCCTGAGAGAGAGTGGTAGAGAGGGAGAAAGGGAATTACACAAGAGTTGCTTCATTGATTAAATAAGAACTGTGATGCTGGGAGCTGCCCAGGAGCCAATGAACAGTCGTCTTCAGGCCCTTGGGAGGTTGCCGTTCAGCTACTGTATGTTTTTTTTCTCCGAAGAACAAAAAACTTGTACTTATGGTACTGTAATGGATATCTTCAAGTGAAACCAAGTGAAACAAGAGGTTCTAGGGTATCATGTAAAAACATTAGACCCCCTTTGTTATTCTTTTGTTTAGTTCTTGTGTGTGTACACAGTGAAGTGAGATTAAACGGAAGCAGAAAATAGAGTTTCCCCTGGGACCGAAGAAGCCCAAGCTGCTTAAATGTTAAATAATCACGCTTAACACATTGACATAGTTACATTAAACAACAATAGCAATTAATCTAAATAATGAGACAATGATATTCTGGTACATGTCAAAGCAGAAGCACACTTGTTTCATCACATTGAATGCCAGAGTGACAATGACAATCTCACTTCATGGAGGCATCTCCCACGCTCAGGCAGCCCCTGAGGCTCAGCTGCCTCAGGAAGCCTCCGCAACGCTTCGAAATGTTCTCCACCACCCGACCCTGAGAGAGAGAGATGGAGAGGGTAATGAGAGGGAGAGAGTGATATGACTTGGTCCACAGGACAGAGGATCAGCTGTTACGTCACAGTCGGCACCAAAGCCTACCGACCCCGAGTTAAGCCTTGGGCTGGATAAAGCTACTCAACAAGCACACACGTGTAGCACGTATACAAACACACACATACACAAACACAGTTCATTGACCCACTTCACGCTTCCTTTTATTCTCTCATAAAAAACACCCCACACCTCAATGTCCGTCTGGAAGTTGAACAGGTCAATCTTCTGCCAGTTACTGCCGTCGAGGGCCAGGACATTCCACGCCTGAGAGGGTGACACACAGATTGTGGACAGAGTCCGAGATGTGGGTCAGAAAGAGGTGGGGGGGGGAGGTGAATGGTGATCATAATATGCAGGAGAGATGAATAAACATAGTGAGTCAACCCCTATAGTGTAATCTGTCTAAATATTAACTAGGACCACTTTCTGGGGCTGCAAAATGTATTGTTTTTATTGTCATCGCAATGTCAACCTGCTTTTTTGTTGTTGTATTTTAGCATTACACTGAAAGCTAAATAAATCAAAAGAAAGATTATTTTAACTTCTGTTTAATTGCTGCAAGTATTATTATTCAGTATTATCAAATATGGAATATTTTCTTCATACAGTGCAGCCTTAACACGTTCTGTTTTTGTTGGTAGTGGAGAAAGTGTACGAGCTGCTGTTTTCACTCCTGTACCCATCTGTTTAATCTAAAGGTGTTTTCTCTGATGTATATCGTCGTTACCTGGAAATTATTTGATTTTGGAATGTTGGTCAGACAACAACAGACTCTTGGAAACATGTCCTTTGGCTCCAAGAAATTACAATGTTTTTTTCCCCCAGGTGTCTGATATATTGTATTCACAGTAATTTTGCTTTGTCACAGGCGGAGAGAAGTAACATTTTCCCAATAGAAATAAATGAACATGAGAAGCAGCCACCATAGCTCTGCATTCACAGCCCAAGTGCCAAGCCCTGAAACCTCAATCATAAAAAACGTTGAGCTGCAGTGCACTACGAACAGGGGCCCATTTACAACTAACCAGCAGATGGCACTATGTTATAGACATTTCTAAAGAATTTGGTAATGGTAATCCGGTTTCAATTTCCATCATTCCATCAATTAGAATCACAAAATGCAATACTTTAGGGAGTATATAAGGAGGTTTTGAATGTGGGATGAAGTGCTTACCTTTGATACTTGGGCGCACCTACACAGTGTAACCACATCTAGATAGGAGAATATTCTAAAAAGAAAAACAAAAAAAGCGCATGAGTTTTTCACAATCACCCTCAGATAAAGAGGTCAGTTTGTAACTAAACTTTATATCTGATCATCTTTTATTCTGTGTGATTTTATATGTGTATGTAGGAAACAGAACAATCCCCTGTGGTGTTGGTTGGTAGCAGGAGAGCCCCACAGACGGGCAGTGTTTGAGCTTTGGGGCGGTCGTCCACAAAGGGCTTCATGCAGCCGGCTACTGGGTCAGCTCAATCCATTAATCTGCCAATGAGTAATCTCTGGCACTCAGACAAGCAAGGCCAGGGACAGACAAACTTATTTACATATACAGAAGGACCCATGAAACCAAACATGTATGCATGGTCTGAGTTCCCGGTGATTAAAAGGTTACTGCTCAAAACGTGCCTTATCTATGGAAAATGTGAAGTATTCAGAGAATTGTCATGGTGCCAAAGCTTTGAGTGCAGCTGGGGTCTGAATGTCCTTTTAACCCTAGGAAACAGGAGCTGGCCATTGTCTCCTTCATATAGAGGCAGACAAAGGCTGTGTGTTTTGACGTGTGTCGGGTCAGGGCATGTTGGGACATGTTTCTATCATCTGTACTGGAGTCTTGCATCAGGGAGTACATGCACACAATTGACAATGCAATGCATCGACAAACAGAAAGTAACGCACACTCACACATTGAACACAAAGTCCTTGAAGTGATTGTGGGGAACCAGAGAAGCTGACCAAATCAAGCAGGCGCTTATCGATCACCCTTCTAACAACTGGTTAATGGCTGTGACGCTGACCATTGATTGACTGTCTGTTTAAATCAAACAGCATCTGACTTTCCATTATGAGCGAGAGAGCGGCCTTTTACTGACCACCGAAGTATTCAGTTAATCATATTCAGAGGGAAGCGATCCGTTAGTCTGAGTCCTGTTTGGAGTTCTGTTAACGCTATTTGACATTTGCTCTTGATCACTATAAGGGCCAAATAGGTTGGCTAGTGCAATCAGAATTGTTTGTGAAGGTGATATAAAATGTGTGTACGACCCAGGGATTTAGACCAGGTCCAACATTTATTGGGTTCTTCCATGGCCCATTTTACCGCCCATTAGATAAAGTTTCCTTAAAAAACCAAAGGCCCTCCTTAGTGGAAGTAATACAAGGATCATTGTTGAGAAAAGCCCTGATGTTTAAGATAAAGATAGATTGTTGTAATCAAATGCATTATAGATGTATCAATGACTTTTTTCAAAACCAAGGATTTACAACAATAAGGCCAAATCAGAGATAAAACATCAAGATTGTTTACCTTGCCCCAATGTTGCCTCTCACCAGAGGCAGAACAGAAAACAAGCTTTAAATTACTTTTTTTTCTTCTGAAATGGTACGTAATGGGATTTTAATGGAGCGTACTTCCATTTGTGGACATAATGTAGGCCTACACCTGGCTCTTCAAGCACAACGAGATAAGAGAGTCAAGTCTTCGCTGCGAGTCTCATGCTGGTTGTCATAGTAACTCCAGTCAGACATAAATTTGGGAGGTGGTGGCGGTGGTGGGGGTTGCTGAGTCAGTGCTTCTGGTTAAGAGTACCCAGAACCACTCTGAAGTCTCCGAGCATCATCTGTCAGACAAGGATCTTCTATAATAGCACGGCACTGTTTACAGTTTAAATCCATGCTGCACTGGCCTAGATAACAGCGGTGTACAATGCACCGCCTTAAAGGCAGATCAAATGTGAAAACAAGTCAGGTACCCGGGCTGGCTGACATTAAACATAAACAGTAATGCTAATAACAACGTTAATTAAACAAATTAACAGGCTAATTAGCAAGTATTTTCCTACAGCAATGTACCTGCCAATGCATACCAAACAGGTGATCTGTTCCAGTGGTTTCAAACCTGTTTTTGGCAGGCGACATCTCAAAGGAAGCTGTGTCTGTTGGCAACTCTACACAGGTCACTTTATGTGAATGAATTACTAGCAAGCCGCAACTATCAGGTTTGAAAAGTGAAGTGCCTTAAACATGCATCCTTTTAAAGGCCCAGCAGGGTGCAACTCCTCGGGTTGCAAAGAAAAAGCAGATTTGATTGAAGTCTATGAGAAAATGATCCAACCACATGATTTATAAACATTTCGTGTTTGAATCAAAAACACTCTAGCTTCTCTAATGTAATGTTCTCGATGTTACGCTTATCTTTGTCACATCTACATATTTATTTATTTGTCTTGCAACCTCTTAGAAGTGGTATCAACTAATCTCCTATTTATGACTTTGTTTGCAAATGTCTAAACAGAGATGCATCCTTGCATTATATAAATGCACCAGGGACAACATAACGTCAAACCCTTTTTACCATGGTGACGGGGCATAAGAAAATGATAAAGAAAGAAAAAAAATGGCTTCAGTCAATCCACTTTCCATGGTTTGAAAACAAGATTAACTGCCATAACAATGAGTCTTCCTCACATCTGATGTCCTGCAAGTGCCTCAAAACAGCACATGTGACACTAAGTAATGTGTTGTAGCTAGAGAGTGCAGTGAGACTGTTATTTTCTGTCCACCAGTGAAAGTAGTGAGGGTTGTAATGGGTAGTCTAGAGCACAGCTGGAGCAGCAGAAGAGCAGCACTGCGGAATTCCCCACCAGCTAAGACAAGCTATATTTTTCTCTCTCACACACACACACACACACACACACACACACACACACACACACACACACACACACACACCGATCAGTATTCAGCCATGAATTTAAATTACGTCAAACACTCACATTCGCTGTGCCTCTGCAGACACGCATCCTGCCAGTGATACACTTGTATCCTCAAAGACTCAGAAACCGTATCTAATGAGGGGGAACTCCCTGCTGTTTCACAGCCAAACACAAACGCTGAAATGTAAAAACACAAAAGGGGGGCGAGGGGAAAGGCACAGGAGGCGTAAAGGTTGAGTCTGAAAACGTCTCAGATCCAGCTACCTCCAGGACGGATGCAGGTTTCTCGAAGGAGAATGTAATAAAGAAGAGAGAAGATGGAAGAAAAGGGAAGGAAGGGGGAGCAGGAGGACGTAGGAGACGCAGGCAAACAAAGAAATGTTGCGACAATAAGGAAAAAAATATATGTACAAAAGTCATTATTGAATTGAAGTGAAATGAGTGTGAGGAAGGAAGGAAGGAAGGAAGGAAGTAAAGGCCATTTGAGAGGAAATGGGGCTTTAAGACAAAAAGAGGGAGTTGTCCAGTCAAGGTCCGGCAAAAAAATAACTATACTGGTTTATATTTTAATCTATGCTCAGGTAACAACACAGCAGACAAAGAGCTTTGAAAGAGATCCATTAACTACATCCAAAGATAGCTCTAGGCAAAAGTCAAAACCTTTCCATTGGTTCCCACATACCCCTGTATTAAAAACCACATTGGGGCCAACAACCTAATGCAGGCTCACCACAATCTCTGAATAAATGCTTTACAATAAAGCTTTTATCTTCATGATGTGACTTTCAGTTTCAGTTATATTTAGAACCGTATCAATTGATTTACCTGAGAGTAAATTGACCTTAATTGAACAATACTCTGCGTAAGAGACAAAGCCTGCAGTGTATTGACTCAGTGTCTCTCTAAAGCCGCAGGATTTAGGACTAAATTTAGACTTAATTCCAAACCACCTCTGTAACACATCACTCACCTTTGACCTTTCCTTAAACAGACAGACAAACTGAAACCTGGTGGGCTTCATATAAGGTACATAAAATGGTTTGATCTTACAAAAAGGAAACAATGATTGTTACTTTGTAATGCCTTCTAGTCATTTACTAATCAGATTTACATTCAGACATTCCAGATTACTGCTCAGACGGTCATTGAAGTCATTTCTCAGGGAGCAATACAAAATATTTGCTGGTTCAAACCCGGCTACTATTTCCTGTTTAACCTTATTAAGGGCTGCCAGTGACAATTGTTTCAATACAAATGAATCTGAGGATGTGCTTGATTAATAGAGCTCATCAAATATCCTGTTTGATGAAGTCCCAAACCTAAGATATTTAGTTCCCTTTGAAATTAGAAAACAACAAAACAGCAAATTCTCACAAATTTGGAAAGCCTTGGCAGCCAAATAGTTATAATAGAGTTCATGGAACATGGCTAGTTTAATTCAAAACCAAGGACTTTTTTAACATCATACTTCCCTTTCTCTCCCCCATTACCTATCTGCCTTTTCACTGTTAACTGTCGAATAAGAATAAACTTGAATGAAAAACAGATGATAACCAGTGGTCTAATAAACTAATCATTGCAGCGCTAATAACGTACACTGATATGGTTTTTGACTGCTGTCATAGATAACTTTCATTATTATTTATAGACTTAACCAGTAATACATTTCAAATATCTATAAGTAGATAATACAAATAATCTTTACTGACAGCCCTATTTCATATACATCTTATTTCTATGCCAACGGGCAGTGAGTCAAATAGTTGTGTAACCTAATCCCCGATGGAGAAGTAGTGTAGTGGAACGGCATGAACAAAGTATTTGGTGTGTGATCTCAGCCACAGTTATGACATTATGACACCAGGGTTCATCTCCCGTAGGTGTGCTTCATTAAAAGTTATTACCTCAGGACGCTGGTGCCCTCGTTCCCTGTGCCAGGGGAGCAGCATTCACAAGCAGGGAGTTCCTCTCTAAAGTCATACTCCTATTCCTAGACGGTGTACAACCAGGCGGAAATTTGGTTTCTGAACTTGCATGTCTCAGGTTTAAAGTTTCCACATGAAAGCAACTATAAATAAATTAGATATGGGCCATGTTTTCAATCTGTGGCCTTCATAACAACACCACCAATGGGCTTGTTCTCAGGTGTGCATGGTCAACCCACCAACCTTTACTCATTTAACACACAAAACAACACCCCACACTGATTTTTAACTGCGTCTAAGAAGCTTACATCTCTGTGGAGAAATCCACTGGCAACACACATCAGGGCCACTACCGCCTTCTGTTCTCA